TACCTGATTTTCTTGAATTATTGCCTTTTGAATTCAATTTTTTGAGATTGTAATAAATAGTTGACATGTTTATGCCAGTTTTAAAATATATTTCATATGCAGAAGTAATTCCATTATTTCACAAATGCAATATAGTTTGTCATTGTGTATTTTTTTTAGAAAATGACATTGTAAGGATAAGTTTATAATAAAAATAAATTGATTAAATAATTTTAAGTACCTATATATATTGTTTGGACTATGTTGTTTATATATTTAAAATTTTACGTAAATTGCTTTTGTTTTGAAAAAGTTATACACATTTATATTATATAAATAATATTCCAAAATTTTTTGCACCATACTGTAATTTGTATTCTATAAATTCTTTTTGTTGATTCTTTAATCATATATAAAAAAGATATTTGCAAAAAGTTTTTTATACTTTTTTGCTAATAAAGTCTTGATATTTTTCTTAAAAATATGTTTTTAAAAGTTATATTTATTCTTTTTTTATTATTTATAAATATTTTTACTTAAAAATTTAACTTTTAATGATCAAAAAAAGTTTATCATTTTTGATATTAGTAGTAAAAAAATTTTTAAAAGAAGAAGAACTAATTATAAAATATTTGAAGACTCTTTTAATCTCGAAAGTGAAAAATTAATAAAGATTTTTTTATTGTAAAAAGATTTATTTTTATTCTTTTTAACTTTCTAGACTCTTTTAAAGCTTTCTTTTTTTAGTTTTCCAAAAAATTTTATTTATCTTAGTTTAATTTTGAATTTTAATTAATACAAATTTTTAATAAAGATAATTGGCTAACATAAAATATATTAATTTTTAAAATATTAATAAAATTTTATTGCTAATACTTATATATTTTAATAATATTAATAATAATTAAAAAAAATATTTATGATGTCAAAAAACTAAAAAATAGATAATATGAATTACAAACTTATATTTTTTATTTAAGTTTTTTAAGTAATGACAAAACTTTAATGAATAAAAGCTAAGGTTTAAATATTTTTTTTGAAATATTTCAATTTAATATTTACTTAAATAAAGAACTTGTTAAATTAATTCATTCATTGTTATAGATAATAACAAAAAAAATTTTTTTAAAAATTTAAATAAAGTAAAAAGACTATTCAATCAAATAAATACTTTTTGAGAAAAGATTGTTTTTATTATTGAACTTTTTGAATAATTCTTTTTTTTTATTTTGATATTTTTTTTTCTTTTAATTTTAGCAATTTATGATTTTTTAATTAATTAATAGTGACAAATTATTGATGAAAATTAAAAATTTTTAATATTATCTCTTAAATCAAATTTAAAATATTTTTATATAAAGATGAGTTAACTATATTATAAAAAACTATATAAAGATGAGTTAACTATATTATAAAAAATCTATAATTATATTAGATCTATTATTCTTAAGATCAAATTTAAAGAATATTAATATCTATAATAAATTAGTTAAACTTGATATAATATTTAGTTATAATATCAAAAAAAAACAAATGACACTCTTTCCGCTGATTCTCTGACCACATACAAAAAAGATGTTTGCAAGAAGTTTCTATACTTCTAGGCTAACAAAGTCTTAACACTCTCTTTAAATCAACCTGAAGGAGCCTCCTTCAAGACTCCACCACTTTTCCATATTGTCTACAATCTTCTTCAAACAATATTGAACTCTCGTGACCTGCAAAGCCCAGTACTTACCTTGACTACCAATGGCAAGAAAGTTTCTCAAGGGAGAAAGACCAACAGCAATGTACCCACCACCTATCAGTCGAAATAGAGGAAACAAAACAAGTACCTGAGAAAGGGTTTCTCCCATCCAAAGGACTCATCTTTTACCCTTTGAATAGTTGTATGCCCTCTTAGAGCTACCACTTTTCATAGCTTTTTGAGGAATTTTGCCTATTTCAGCTTGACCCTAAAATTTCAAGTAGTACAAATTTCATGGATTCTGATTGGTTGACATGAAACGCGTTGGACAAGATTGATAAACAAGCTTCTATTGGTCATATCACGTGTCTGAATGCATTTCCTCAGCTCCATAAGAACCTGGGGTCTATTATAAGTCATATGTGTTGGTGTGAATGAATACAGGACACAAACCATTACATCATTGGATACAAGAAAGAGTATATCCACCATAGACCGATCACCTGATCAGGGTACAAAGAAGGACTAGTTCACTTATACTTGTCGATAAAAACAAATCCCAGCCCGGTGCGATGCTAAAAGCACAAGACAGCTCACAAATTGGTATGAATCAAGTGGTACGATGTCCTTCATACAAGACTGAACCCAAACAATTCAATAAGACAGACAAAGACACAAGACAGAACAATATTTTTTCTTTTTCTTTTCTTTTCTTTTAAACGCTAACGAGGTCTTCTCGTATAAGGAACTCCTAACACTAGTGGTATTGGATATCTTAGACAAGTTCTTGACACATTAGTTCTCCCTAACAGGGGTAGCAACAGGTCATCCGGTGGAAAAAACCCTAGGAAGCGGAGGTTCTAGAGATAGGTTTAATGGCTGGTGTCACTCCAATAGAGAAGATTCCTCAATTCCTATAGTTTGTTAGAGTTTAGAGAAAGTCCTACACTAGATAGTCAATAGTCATCCCATTCTGATTGAGTGAGACATAAATAGATGCCCCTTTGTACTATTCGTTGATCTGTAAATCCTTAGGCAGTAAGGGTGATTAGTCATCCCAGATGTTCCTAGGACATATCTTGAAGCATACGCATCAATGCAGGAATGAGCTAGTGTTTAAAAAAAAAAAAAAATTTAGTTATAATATAATATATACTATATTAATTAAATAATATACTTTTTAGCCTGACAGAGGATTAAAAAAAAAAAAAAAAAAAAAAAAAAAAAAATTAAATAATATACTTTTGCTTAGTAAACTATAATATAATATTATAAGAGCATCTAAGTCAAATTTAAATTGAATTTTTTAACAATTATTTTATAAAATATATCAAATTTTTTGACAACAACATAAAGACTCAAATTTTAATTTAAAAATTTTTGATCTTAAAAATTACTCTTATCAATTTTTCTATTAAAAAGTTCTTTAAAAAAATGTAATCTAAAAATTGATACTTATTGAAAAATTAAAGAATTAATGATATAACATATATTTCTACTGTACTTCTATAATTATTCTAGATATTAAAAGATATACGATTTCACGTGGATATATAGATATGAGGTTATTATGCACTTGAAATCACATTCTTTACAACATGCCCGACGAAAAGAAACTCCCTTGGGGAATAAACTCAACGAAACCTGGTTCAGCAAAGGTATTTTGAATAGATCTCACCATTAGTCTAGACATTTTTATATCTAATGTCGTCAATCTTTACAGACCCTTACAAAAACAAAGCTGCAGGCTTTTAGCATTGGAACGCATAAAAAAACACCTTTCCAAAAACATAAAGAAGAGTTAGAATTAAAGAAGAAGGTAATGATACCAGGTTTTTTAATTTTTGCAAGCGACGGAAGCCAACTTATGAAATTTGTTCAACATAGCAAGAATCGGAAGAAGCGGCAAAAGTATACGCTGAATTTGTAGCATCGTTCGAAAAGGAAGAAGGGACAGGGAAAGCATTCGTCAAAGGCGAAACAATTGTGCCTAAACGTAAGCTCTTCATAGTGCACCGACTATTTTGTACAGTGTACTCATGAATTTTGCTTCTAATTTTATTTATTTTATTTTATTTTATTTTTTTTTTGTTTAATTACGATTCGCAGTTTTATTCGACCACGATGCAATAAACATCAAAAAAGAAACCACACAACCTGCTGCACCGCCTAAAATTTATAAACCCCAGCCATTCATACCCGCATCCAAGCAAACCCAACCAGAACCAAAGGCTAGCAGCACAGATGAAAATATAGATGAGGTAAAGATATATACTTGCAATTGAAAATTTAGTAGAAAAATCTGACTAAATCGCATAATAGGATGAAGATAAGAGAGAGGAAAAATCAAGGGGGAAGCGTAATCTTGATGCATTTTTAGAGGAAATTAAACGGTAAATTTATCGCTGCAATTAAATTTTAGAGGTGATATTTTGATTTTCTTAATTAAAATTGGAATAGTGAACAAGAAGAAAGAGAGGATCGTCTTAGGCAAAAACACGCAAAGCTGGCCGGTGCTGGGGTATTGTCAGGTGTGTTTCTACATTAGGTTTCCAAATGAGAAATTATGGTAGATCATGTGTCTAAACCGCCTTCGACATTGTGGATCGATCTAGATATTGGTGGAAATGACGAATTTTTACCTACTTCTCTCACTGTTAAAGCAGGTTAGTTTGCATTTGCAAAGGTATTAGTTATATATATATATATATATAAACTTACGATCTTACTCATCTATAGCTTTCGAGGATCGACCTGGTTCTCATGACACTGGCGATCCTAATACGACCAATCTTTATGTTGGGAATATAAGCCCTGAAGTCAGTCGAATTTTATGATATTCTTTCGTATTACCCCACCTCATTTTGTTTATTTTATATTTTAGGTAAATGAGGAAATGCTTTGTAAAGAGTTTGCCAAGTATGGTCCTATCGCCAGCGTTAAAATAATGTGGCCACGTACGCAAGAGGAAAAGGACCGGAATCGTAATTGCGGATTCGTTAGTTTTATGGATCGAGAATGTGCAGCGCTGGCCTTAAAAAATATGGATGGAAAGGAGCTGCTTGGTTATGTTATGCGAGTTGGCTGGGGTAAAGCCGTACCAATTCCACCTCAGCCTATATATGGTATAATTTTCTTAGAAGGATAAATTAATTACAAAAATAAGAATTAAATGTCAAATATTTACATATTCGTAGTTCTAAAAGAGGGCGGCAGACCACCTCCAAGTGGACTTCCTTTCAATGCACAGATGGTTCATACAAATAGTGAGAATTGAAATTTTCCATTTTAAGAATCTTGTTTTTGCATTTCTTTTTATCTAATAATACCGAATTATTAGCGTATGCGAATGTTCCTCCGCCTGGATCATCGTCAGTAAGTAAAGTTGAGTGATACTTTTAGACACTTTTTTTTTCTAATCTAATCAATGAACAAATTGTTGTAGGTTGCACCGAAAGGACCTCGGCTCGAGGTCCAAGTTACTCGTCCCGAAAATCAACAAGTTGTAAAAATAATACATCGCATGGTAGAACGGGTCGTTAAATTCGGGCCCCCGTTTGAGGTTAGGAACATTACTAAGCATGTTTCCTGATAGTCTTATTGGAAATACATTGAGTTTTGTTTTCAATTACCCTAGGCAATAATAATGGATCGCGAATGGAATAATTCAAAATTTGCGTTTTTATTCCAGAACGACGCAAGTAGAATAATTCAGATCTAATTATGACTTGAGTTAGACATAATCATTTAGTATGTTGTTTGCGCGAAACAGTCTGTAGAACACGTGTATTACCGATGGAGGCTGTATTCCGTTCTTCAAGGCGATCCTAAGAATAAATGGCGTACAGAAGCTTTTCACATGTTCGATGAAGGTCCAATATGGGTTCCCCCGGAGATACCCTTTGATGAAGATGTTGGTATTACTAAATGATATTTATCCTTTACATACATCAAATTTTTTACAAGTTTTTTGGGGATGTAATAGGCCGCAGATGATATATTAGATTCTGATGATGATGATGAACGCGAAAGAGAACGTATACCAAAAGGTACCCTCGGTCCTAAGGCTAAACATAGGTTGGAAGTAATGTTGCGAAAACTGACCTTCGAACGAGGTGTAATTGCAAAGGCAATGTCTTTTGCTATCGATCACTCCGATGCTGCAGATGAGGTACATATTGGGAATTTTGATTGACCGATGACATATATGCACTCATCAACTCCTACCGAATTTTAGATAGTAGATATAATTTGCAAGGCACTCGCAATCAAGGAAACTCCCATAGCAACTAAAGTTGCCAGATTATATTTGGTTTCCGATATTCTGCACAATAGTAGTGTTTCCATTCCCAATGCATGGAAATTCAGAACCGGGTAGGTTTGGTTCATAAATTTCTGTTGCAAAGATCTTTCTTTATACATTTTAATTATATTGGACTTATTAACCATCGTTTAACATTTAGATTTGAGGGTAGGTTGCCGGAAATATTTGAACATTTAAACGAGGTGTATAGGTCCATCACAGCGAGATTGAAAGCAGAGACATTTAGGGTAAGTGACCGAATAGAAATACCAAAGATTTTGGTACAAATCTTTGTGATCTTAATTATTTCAATAGTGATGTTGTTCCGACGAAAGAATTTCTTTTGAGAAAGCTTCAATTTATCGATTTTGCCGTAAACATTGTTTCTCACCTTATATTCGTGAAACCTTGACTCTTTTTCAATCTAATTATCTTCGCTTCGGAAACAAAACTTGATGTAATCGCGTAAAATCCGTCACACAGCGACAAATCACAACAATCCTCAACGTATGGGAGAATTGGATTGTATTTACGCAGCCGTATATTGAATCTTTAACAAACACTTTCATGAAGCTCACAAAAGAAGGAGATAGTACTCTTAATTCAATATCACAATCGTCTAGTAATGATAGCAATAATGGTTTGGATGGTACCACAACAAAGTCGGAACTTGAAAATGAATCACCAATACAATTTCAGGCTGGTGGATTATTGGGAGTCAAAACGAAGTGGGATGAAGAGGGCGAGGATGAAAATAACAATCAAAAAAATATTTCGAAGGATAATTCACCATCACCGGCAAAACGTGCACGATTCGCTGTAGATTATGAGATGGAGCAAGAAATGAACATAACAGGAATTGAAAAATTCGGGCATGGTTATGACGAGATTAGAAAGTCTAAGGCCGAAAGTGATGTCGATGATATCTTTGCTTAGGTATATTTTCTTCATTACTTCGCTGAATGCGCTTCTTTGTTTAGTGTTTTATTTGATTTTATTGAGTAATGGACAATTAAATATAGTGAAGAGAATAATGTTGACTATTGAAGCTCTATAATAATCAAAAGACTTTGATCTTCCTTAATCTATAGAAATAATATTTTTAATAACCACAAAAGAAAACACATTAATATTATACTGTCCAACAAGATTCAATATCCATTATCAGAAACTCATTCTTTAAGTTTTTATTATTTCAAACACCAAAATATCATGGAGTAGAGGTTCTTCGTGATTTATCTGGAAAATTACATTACATTGCTAGCCCGTCTCTTGCTCAAGTGTCTTTAAACTATAAGGAGCAAGGAATTGAATATACTGTACCTTTTCTAGTCTTAATTATGTAAAGACTATATAAAACCAGTTCACTAGCAGAGAAATTTTTCACTAATACATGTCGTATACATACATACAATTAATTAATTATCACTATGTTTTTTAAGACTTCGAAGAACTCGCGATTCCCTGAGATATTTTCATTTGCATTACTTCGAGCGTTACTTGAAAAAGAAGGCACGACAAATTAAGCAAACTCAATATAAATGAATTAACATGAAGATAATAAATTCATATTAATACTTCGTAAATTATTCTGCTTTGATGTGATTGTTTGTTGCAACGTTTCCAGGTTGTTCTTCACGAATTCAACTTTTTCCCCATAAAATTTCAAGGCCTCCTCTGATGTCTACGAGACATTAATGAATAGATTAAACAGTACGATTAATTTCACGATTGAATTAGGAACACAACTAACCTTTTCTACATAGTATCCAGTTCCAACATCAACAATCACCTTATCAGTTTCGATCAACTCTCCCGGAACATAAAGGTGTTAAGTGATTAAGGGTAGAATATGTGCCAGGTGTATTCACCAAACGACACGTTTGCATCGAAAAGGATATTGATATTGTCAATGGAATCAATGTTTCTGTGCCTAATTGAAAATTTGTTAGAAAGGGATACTCTTAAGGTTAAAAAAAATCAAAATTTAAGTACTTTACCTGCTTTTCTCTTTCTAATTGACTCCACGCTATCTATGCAATCCTGAAAACGCGTCTGCGCCTGTCTCAATTGACTAAAAGAATTTGTCAGGTGATTTAATTCCTTGAATTTTAATCACAGAAAGTAGTGAGAAATAGGATAACCACGAAAAGAAAAAAAAAACTTCTTTTTGTTATAAAAAATTCCGACTTCTTCCAATTGCTTCTTAACCTCGGACAATTGTGGTAGGTCCAAGTCGGTCAACTCAACGGTCTGTTGCTTTGGGGCCGACGCCATATCTTCTTCGTCTATTTGTTGCTCAGAAGACGATTTTTTCGGACGTCTCTTGCCCATCTTTGTAATACAGAAAATAAATTTCTCGACGTTTTCCTAAAATGGCCAAATTAAATTTTACACTGCGTGAACATGTGATACAGTAAATGATAATAAATATTTTAGATATAACTAGAAAAACGTTATTCTAAATTGTTAGTTTATAATCATTTTCATCTAAGCTATAAAATATTAAAAAAACAGATCAGCTTTTCTCGAGATATTAAGAATTACCACGACAATCATTTAAATAATAACTAAATTTAGTAGTTGTATTACGAATCATAATATAAAAATCTCGTTTTTTTTTTCCTCTTAAAAAAAAAAAAAAAATGTTTAAGCGTCTTCCCCTACGACTTTCAACCAGAATTACGATATTACCATTTAACGTTCGTAAAGAGCGATTTTACATCAGACCAAAATCTGTTCCGGTACGGCAAAACAAAAGTCAAATTGCGATTTGTGCCGCTACACTAACAATTTTCGCTCTTCTTGGTGGAAAATATAGAAAGATCTATAATGAGCGTTCATTGGTAACTTTAATAACACGATTCGTATAGAAACTAATTCTGTATCTCAAATATATGGATTTTAAATGAATTCTATTTTTCTATCACAGTCTGAGTCATATACGGAAGATAAGAATTCTAAGGTGATTATCCTCAGATTTTTTTTCGTTCGTTCAAATGGTTTACTCACATGCGCGAGACATCATTATCATCAATTTAGATAGTTGCGACAAACGACGACATACCATTGCGTCAAAGAATGGAGAAATATATAAGGGAGCTCCAATTACATATTATGAAAGAAATTGAAGCTCTTGATGGAAAAAAAACGTTTGAGATCGATAGTTGGGAACGTGCTCAAGGCGGTAATGGCGTGACGTGCATATTACAAGATGGCAATGTCTTTGAAAAAGCCGCCGTAAATATTTCTATTGTACACGGAGATTTGCCTGAACCAGCTCTAAAGCAAATGAAATCACGATTCGAAAATATTGATATTTCAGAAGGACCATTTCCGTTTTTCGCCGCAGGAATTTCAATTGTGATGCACCCACACAATCCTCATGCTCCTACTATACACATGAACTATCGATATTTTGAAATCGGTAATGATGATGGAAAACCGAAATTATGGTGGTTTGGCGGTGGATCCGATCTTACACCTTCTTACCTGTACGAAGAAGACGCCGTTCATTTCCATAAAACTCTAAAAGACGCGTGCGATAAACATGACCCTGATTACTATCCCAAGTTCAAGAAATGGTGTGATAAATACTTTTACTTAAATCATCGCGCGGAATCTCGTGGAGTGGGTGGTATATTTTTCGACGATCTGAACAAAAAACCTGCCGAAGAAATATTCGCGTTCGTTAAACAATGTGGAAATTCTTTTCTCCCCTCATATATTCCGTTGATTAAGCAAAGAATGAACACACCTTTCACGGAAAAAGAAAAGGAATGGCAACAACTGAGAAGGGGCAGATACGTTGAATTCAATCTCATATGGGATCGTGGAACTAAATTTGGTTTACAAACACCTGGAGCGAGAATTGAAAGTATCTTTGTGTCTTTACCCTTAACTGCCCGATGGGAATACATGAATTTGCCCACAAAAGATAGTCCTGAAGAAAAATTGGTCAAAGTTCTGAAGAATCCACGCGATTGGGTATAGAAATTGAGCAAACTGTTATTTGTCTTAACTTATTCGGTTTCATATAATTAAGTTGAGATCTACGCGTTTATTCTCGAGGTTAATAAAATCGATAATACTATATTAAATTTATCCATTTTTATCTTTAATCAATTCAAAACTAATATGTAAAGGTGAGGATTGTTTATTGTTTGTTAGTAAACATAAATATAATTTCTTATTAAATAATAAATTACACGTTACTTTATATATTAATATGTTATTAATATAGTAAAAAGTGACAATATAAATGTTCAAATTATTGTACAGTATATATGATTTTGAAATAATTTTTTTTGTAACTACTATAGTATATTAAATTACAAAATTTAATTATTTTATTTATAACAGTATATACTGTAAATACTGTATATATATTTTTTTAAAAAAATATTATTTAATTATTTACTCATATTTATTTTATAATTAGATTAATTTTTTGTCAAATTAGTTATATATACTTTATTAAACATTTTTGTAAACTATACATAATTTATGTATTTTTTTGCAATACTCATTATAGCGAGATTAGATTATAATTTATTAATCAATTGAAAACATAAGTATATTTTTATTCAAGTAGCATGATATATATTGTGATTAAACTTTTTTAATCAATTTAATCAATATATTATAAGCAATAATAATCTTTAAGTTTGATTTTAATAATAATATTTTGCTTCATAATAAACTTTAAATAAAGATTTTCTTAATCTATATATTATTGTTGACAAATTGTTATTATTATTTATTTTTGTTTTATTTTATTTTTTAATCCACAA